ACACCTTACACATGCAAGAAAAATACATACACACATATACTTTACACACAAATACACACATAAACACACAAGATACACATGCACTTTACGCGCGCACACACACAGGACATACACATATAGACAGGGACATACACTTTACACACACATGCACACAGACATACACTTCACACACACCTACACTTTACACACACAAGACACACACATGCACTTTGCACACATACACACAACACACACACTTTATACATGCAAGACAGACACAGATACACTTTACACACACATACAAACGTGCACTTTACACACATATTCACACAGGATGCACACAGATACACACATGCACTTTACAGACACATACGCACACATACAATTATGCACCCCACATACAAAGGCACCCACAAGCGCGCGCGCGCACACACACACACACACACACACACACACACACACACACGGAAGATGGAGGCTCTGTGTCAGGGGTGGACACCCCTCCCGGGGCATCTCGGCAACACGTCTCAGACTCTGGTCTGACCACACGAGCCCCTTCCCTCCCGCGGGCAGGGGCTCAGAGGCGCACACCTACCCTGCTGCTCCCCGTCGTCTCTGGGGCTCCCACCTCCACCTGCAGACGGGAGGAAGCGGGTCAGCAAAGGGTGAGCCGCAGGCTTGGCGAGGAAGGTTCACCACCCACGAAGGACCCACTGGGCACTTAGGATCGGACACCAGCCCCTCCCCACGGCCCCCAAGCTCACTGCCCGCCAGCCGACCGAGACCCTGCGGGTGTCCGGGGAGACGGAGCAGACGGTTGTCATTGTGGGGGGCTAGGGGTGAGCAAGGGTCAAGCCGATTCCGACCCACAGAGACCCCAGGCACCGCACAACCACACTGCCCAGTCTTTCGTCCCCCTGTGCCCGAGCCACGGCTGCAGCCACGTGTCCATCCGTCTGGGTGAGGGCCTTCCTGTCTGCCGCCACCTCTCCGCTTCCCCTCGCACGACGGCCTTCTCCAGGGGCCGGTCTCTCCTGACCACACGTCCACAGACCGCGAGACCAAGTGTCACCCTTACACCATTTCCGTGGCCACATGACGCTGTACAAGTGCAGGGGTGGAGTCTGGCCTGTCAATCAGGTTGCCGCCTGCGGATGCCTCCCTGTGGGCTGAGACCCGCGGGGGCCTGGAGAGGCGTCCACCGCTGTTGGATCCACAAGACTGGACCTGCTGGCCTGTGAGCTCCCTGCCTCCTGCATCGTCGCCTGTGGCTGCAGGAGTCTGGAGCGACGTGTGCACAAGGATCGGACTCCTGGAGTTCAGTTGGACTGGGATGTTTGCTCCCTACATAAGCACTTCTTGGTACAAAGCTCTTTCTCGCACCAGACGAGCATCCTTGAATTTGTTTGTCAACTCAGCCCGGGCCCCACACACACACCGAGTTTCACCATCTTTGCCCCCAAGGAGTACTCTGGCTGGACTTCTTGCCAGACGGACTGTGTGTTCTTTGTCCAGTGGTACATCCCAGTCTTCTCCAGCACCACAGACCGAATGCATGGATCCTTCTCCGTGCCTCCTTCTTATTCGATGTCCAACTTCCACATGCACCCTGGGGAGGCTTGGAGACAGGAGAGACTTCCTCTGGGACTCCATGCGTGCTCACGACACCCTCCCTCGGCCTTCTCCAGTGTCCACACTCGTGCCAGCAGCCCGTGGGACCAGAAGCGCATTCCACACGTGCTAACGTCCTGAGCAATGTCTCCACCCAGCCGCCCCATGAGGACGGAGGGCGGGGAGTTCCTGAGCTCACTGTGCAGGCAGCGCGGCATGTTTACAGACTCGGCCCATGGGTACGGAAGCCAGGGAGCCCAGGCCCCTGTGCAGACGGGGAACCCGCTCGGCTTCGGGTGGAAATCGCCACCCAGAGGCGCTGCCCAAGGAAGGCCTGGCTGAGGACACTGCTTCTGGGGAAAATCAGGCACCGGAAGCCTGGGCATGGCTGTAGTTCAGCTCCGAGACCCTGGGGGCACGGAGTGCTGGACCCTAACTCAAGGGTGGCTGGGTGGGCTTATATCGTTCCTGGTTTTAAGATTTTTTTTTTTGCAATATGTGCACAGCACCGTTTACCCACTGCCCCGTTCATCCACGTCCCGATTAGGGCCGTGGTTCTCAGCCTTGCTCACAGCGACCCTTTCGTACAGGTCCTCCTGTGGTGGTGACCCCCTATTTTTGCTGCTACTTCGTCACTGTGATGTTGCTACTGTGATGAACCGGGGAGCCCTGGGAAAGGGTCGTTGGACGATGTAGGATCACAGCCTTCCGCGTGGAGGACAGCTCAGTGTCAGGAACACCAGCAGCCTCACACCTGGACCCGCCGGTCACACCGTGATGCGCGGAGAAAAGGCTGCAGCGGTCAGGGATCTCGACTCGCCCGGATCCACAGCCAATCAGGGCTCTGGTAGCATCCGTCCAGCGCGCAAAGGGCGACGCTACTTCAGGTCAGTCCGCCTCACGAGACACCTCTTTAGGGTCTTGAAATGCAAAGGTGTTGCTCTGAGGACTAAGGTGCGCCTGCCCCAGGGCACGGTGTTCTCCACGGGGGGCTCCTGTGCACGTGGGAGTTGCACCCCGAGCCAGGAAGACTGGAGATGAGTGGATGCATGTGCATTGTGCTGCAGGAGAGCTTTCAAAGTCCCATGCACCACCCAACCCATCTGTCTGGAGGAAGTCAGCCCAGAGCGCCCCCTACAGGCGGGGACAGGGAGGTTCTGTCCCAAAGCGCTCCCTAGAGGCAAGGTTCTGTGTCAGAGCGCCCCCTAGAGGCGGGGACAGGGAGGTTCTCTCCCAGAGCGCCCCCTAGAGGTGGGGACAGGGAGGTTCTCTACCAGAGCGCCCCCTAGAGGCAAGGAGGGGAGATTCTGTCTCAGAGCACCCCCTAGAGGCGGGGACGGGAGGTTCTGTTTCAGAGCGCCCCCTAGAGGCGGGGAGGGGAGGTTCTTGTCTCAGAGCGCCCCCTAGAGGCGGGGACGGGGAGGTTCTGTTTCAGAGCGCCCCCTAGAGGCGGGGACAGGGAGGTTTTGCAGACAGCGCCTGCCTGGCTCAGGAGTGCAGCGCTCAGCCACCAGCGCCCCACGAGCCG